ATATATTGTATTTTATCTGCGTTTAAACGTAGGAGATTATTAAGAAGTCAATTAGATTCTATGTCAAAGCCTTGTTGAGCATATTTATAAACCTCATCTCATGATTTAGCTGAGAATAACAGGGCTGTGTCATCCGCATACGACATTATGACACTATTTTGAAGGTGAAGATTGCATAAGTCATTTATATAAATTAGGAACAATGTAGCCCCCAGGATACTGCTCTGTGGGAGTCCATAAGAGCTGTTTAGTAATTCAGTACTTGTATACTCACCGATTTTTACACATTGAAAGCAATCACTGAGGTAATAAGAAAAAGATTGTAGTTGAGTTCCCCTTATGCCAAGTGTTTCAAGCTTTTGCAATAGTATAGGGCAAGAGATGGTATCAAATGCTTTGGCAAGGTCTAAAAAGATCCCAATTGAGTGCATACCATTGTCAAGATTACTTGTGACATAATCTGTCAATTGGTGCAAGGCATCAGTACATGATATCTTAGGCCTAAAACCAAATTGTCTGTCTGACAGCAAGATGTTAGTTTCCAGGTATTTTATTAACCTGGTATTTATGATCTTTTCGAAAATTTTAGATAAACCAGATAAAACTGAAATCGGCCTATAGCCACTAAGTTTTTATCACCAGCTTTGTATATAGGAGAAATGACTGCTTTTTTAAGCACTTTCGGGAAAATACCATTTTATAGGCATAATTGAAAGATATGTGTTAACGAGGCGGCCAGTAAATGTCTAAATCTTTTGAGTATGCGATTAGGTATATTGTCCCATCCAACTGCACAATCATCTTTTAAGCCAGATATTATACTTAAAATCTCATCAATGTCGGTATTTAACAATACAAAAGAATTTAACTTAGAAAAGGATGTAGGCATAAAAATTGGATTCTTAAAGTTGTCTCTGCTATTTTTCGCCAACATTAATAAAATAATTATTTACTTTAATAGTTGCTTCGTTTGGGCTTTTGTCTAATGACAGTAGATCAAATGGGGGTCCAAGGTTTTTTGAACTGAAGGTATTATTTTTAATGAACTTCCATACAAGTTTACTGTTTTTACCGGCCTTTTGTAAAACATTTTATCATATTGTATTTTGAGGTTTTTTTAATGGTTTATTGCAAAAATTCCTATATCTTTTATAAGTAGCAGAAAGTATTAAGTTATCAGGAGGAAGTTTAGATTTTGAATGAAGTTTGTCTCTATTTCATATACAGCGGATGAGATCAGGTGTTATCCAAGGTTTAATATTATATATATACTTACGTGACAATTTTATTGTTGATGTATTATTTTTATTTTTTATTGCGTAGTAAAGTTGCAGCCTATTTACGTCCCACTGCTGGGCACAGGCCTCCTCTCATTTCTGAGAGGGTTTTAGAGCAAGGAAATGTCCACTGCGCTGCCCCAATGCGTGTTGGCGAACTTCACATGTCTTCGAAAAATGTTTTTTCTTATTTCTAAGACATGCAGGTTTCCTCCGATGTTTTCCTTTACCACCAAGCACGTGGTAAATCAGCACTTAAAATTGCAACTAACAATTTCATTAGTGCCGGCGGGGATCGAACCCGGGTTGCTCGAGTACTGTGAAGCTTACAGCGAGCGCTAACCATCTGAGCTACCACGGATTCTTTATTGCGTATTGTAAAGAATTTATAAAGTAACTCAAGGACGTATTTGCATCGTCAGAGCATTAAACAAAGTCAAAATTAATGCTACGAATGTCATTTTCAAGGTTCGTCATATGGACTTCAGTGTAGTTGCGTATTCAGTTTTTTCTAGGTAAGGCTAATTGTAATGACATTGTTAGTAAAATAGCTTAATGATCAGTAAGCGAGGAATTAGTAACTAATATTAAAGAATGTTTATTTGATTTAATCACAAAATGGTCTAAACAAGAGCCGCTTTGATGTGTAGGGTGGTAAGGTGTTGGTAATAGTCCATGAAAAGAGCAGATATTTAGGTAGTTATGTACGTGGTTATCTGTTATCTCAGAGGTAATGTTAATATTTATGTCACCGGTTAGGATTATATTTTTATATGTTCTAAGTTTGCCTAAGGTAATATCAAGGGACTCCAGAAATCTATCAATATTTTGTGAAGGAGGTCTGTAAATTGCAATAACAATAGTCTCGGAATAGATTACTAAACCGTCATTTTGATTAATGTGTTTCTCGGTTTTGTGTATAGCCATCTAGAATCGGTTAGGTAGGGTATAGGTAGGGTGGGAGGTTTGACAGCCAACATTCTGTAAGGACAATAATATCACATTTTACATCCAGACTATGCAACAAAACTTCAAACCCGGTTATATTCCGATTTATGCTTCTAATATTTTGTGTAAGTAAGATTAACTTATTTTCAGGACGAGGAAGGAAATGTTTACAGTCATCAACATTAGATGTTTTAGCGTCAGACACAGAAAAGTTGTCTAGGTCATTGAGTAATTGATTCGTCATACTTAAGCTTAAAGATAAACTAAAACAAGTGTTTAAGAGCTAAGTAAATAATATAATACACGGCGCTCTTAGGCGCCCTCATAGTCTATGGAGTTGATATATTTGTCTTCTGCGAATTTACGTGCTGGACAGCTTTCATCACCAGTTTTGTGGTCGCATTTTCTTTTACAACGTCTGCACGTCGCACAAACGGAGGCATTAGCTTTGTAAACGCAAAAAATGAGAAAAAAAAAATTTTCATTAAAAGAATGCCTGAGCTCTCCACAGTAGTTACACGTAGGGCTACTTTCCCGACAAAATTTGGCTGAATGACCAAACTGCTGGCAGTTGAAGCATCTTGTTACTATTGTAAAGTCTCTGACTGGGCATGAGGTCCAATTAATATATATTCGTCCTTGATTGATAAGAGCCTTCCTGATGCTAGGCAGTGGCAGGCAGCTGGCTAGGGCTTCGTATTTCGACAATGTAATTACAGGTAGGAAGGTTTTTCTTACTTGTTTTATGGCTCAATTTGACTGTTGCCAGGAAGGACTCACGCGTGGCATTAGGAAATTTATCGGCAATATTTTGTTCAAAGATGCACTCGAACACTTCTTTATACGGGAGGGCTACAGGGACACCAACAATTGCAATCCTTGGACGTCGTTTAGCCGGCTCTTCCATGGTAATGGTAAGGCCAGAAGTTACAAGCTTCTCGGAGTTTTTTAGTTTGTCAATATCTCGTTTTGTCTCAGCGCTAATTATAACTCCCTTAACTTACCTTCCTCATGGCCCGGACATGTAGTTTGAGTTCTTCTGGGGATATTATCTTTTGTAAGAGGCTATTCGTGTCATCACTGGTTTTGGACTTGTCTCTCGGATAAATTGCTAGGGTACTAAGATTGCTTGGGCGAATGAGGGTTTGGCCACCTTTTTTGACCAAATCCGCAAAAGTGGTTCCAGAGTCCGGTTTTGACGACACTTTGATACTATTCTTGAGTTCCCGCAGCTTTTGGGACAGGTCAAGTTGGTTCTCCAGAGATACGTTGGAGGTCTGGGCTTTAGTGACAGCCATTTTGAGGGACATGTGATGGACTACCAATTGTGATTGATGTACCGTGGCTTACTTTTCGACAAAGCGAGCTGATGCGCATTTTTTGATCGGAGTTAAGTTTTCCATCTGTAGCGATGGAGCACACCTCGTCAAGGCACTGTTCAATGGTTATCATCCAATGCTGCAACTCAGGAGTTGGAATAGTTTTCGATTGGTTCGCTGGAAATGGGTGTCTGCATGGGTGGGGTTGATGGAGGCGGGTTGCGAGTGGTCCTGGCACTCCGGTTGAAGGGGCTGTTCTCCATTTTAGTACCTATCCTAGTACTTTTAATAGATAAAGCTAAAACATATCCACAAAATCACTAACACAAATATAACTAAAGTATGTCACAGTTATTACCGGTATTGTTATAACGAGGTCACGGCTAAGCACATACTTATTTAATTATTTTAATTACTATTTGACACGTCTGTACACAATAACGTGCACTAACGAACTCTGAAAATGTATGAAAGACGTTGACAAAAAATGACATTTAATTGTCAACGTCTTTCATATTAAAAATATTTTCTGAAATTTATTCCTATTTATTAGGTTTAGATTTTAATATTTGTTATTGCGTTTTGCTTAAATTCTTTAATTTTGGTGCAACCTCTCAAGTGTTCGCCCTCAAGTGTTCAATTCACCTAATATGTTTGTGAGGCTCGAGCCAAAATTACGCAAATTTGCCTTAGATAATAGTTTGAAATTTCCGCTAAAAAGTTTTATATGGGAGCCCACCGTGGCGCTTCTCGTTTACACTCATAAACACGTGTTTCCTTTTTTTAGTATAAAGTTGGCGTTCTTCTTTTGATAGAGAGTAATTGTGTTCTGTGGGTCAGGGATTCTAGTATATTCTAAGTGGGGTTTTGGCGGCAGCTTGACTGGCGACGGATTGCTGCTCCTGTATTATTATTTAAATAATGGTTTGAAGTGGATTGTGATATGTAAAAGTGGTGCGATTTTGTGTATTAAATGTCTGCGCATGTGAACTATTAGTGGAAACGGTGAAACAAGTGCTCTGATGGTGATGTGATTCTCAAGATAAGGTGTCTGTCTGCCTAGGCGCCTTGAGATACTATCGCCAATTCTCAGCTGTCTTCTGGCTCAAGTTACCGTTAAAATCTCCCAAAGCCTGCACAATGTGATGCATCAACATATTGTGAAGCAGTGTACTATGAAGGATAATTATACTTTGTAACTTCAGGCTCAGAAGGGCTAGAACCCAGAGCAGTAAGGCCAATTGTTAAAAAAATATATTCTAAGTCTATGTTTTTATACGTTACTTTATGTTATTGAAAATTTGAAAACTCAATTCAAATTATTCTTCATTACCTTTTAAATAATTGTTATAATTTTTCATCTAAAATTTAAACGGCTTGATTGCTTGTCATATTCTGATTGCATACTTAAAAATAATCTATACTAGAAAATTAGGTACAAGAGTAAACTCTTAGAATGTCAACAAGTGGGCACATAGTGCAGCAACAACAACAGCTGCAACAAGATTTACAAAATGAATTAACGTCTACAAATCAACTTCTAAGTTTAATGTATGTGTTTAATATCAATTGATTTAATTATTTGGAATTTAATAAACTTATTTTTTTAAATTCTGTGAGATTCTTAAAATGATTGCTACGATTTCAACGTTGATTCTTTTCAGTCGAAACCTAATAATAAAACACAATGGTCAAATCACACATCAATATTTTAGTAAAAGTCAGTATTTTCCAGTATTTTCTCCAGTATCTGATTCAATGTCAACTCGTTAGTCTAATTGTGTTTGTATTCCAGATCCGTTGAACTACAAAAAATTAAGCAATTAACTTCTGGAGGCGGAGAGTTTGAAAGCAATATTTTGCAGGTATTATTTTTTTTATATTAAGATATATTGCGATACACATAAATAATTAAACAATGTAATTGTCTAAAAACATCATATCTTCCTGATTGAATTAGCCATTCTGTTAGACATGGATAAGTTTTGGATTATACATTGTGAGTTATTATATGTTACATCCTGACATAATACATAATACAAATGTTCGTAATTTCATCAAAATTGTGGTGTTCAAAATATCTTTAGTAACAAACCATAGATAGAAATAAAGTAATATTAAGAATATAGTTACACCAAATCAGCATACTCTGGCTTCTGTAACAATTACAGAATGTTATATTAAATGCATATAAAATTGTACAATCCTTGTGTATTGCTTGCCCACAGGCAGCTTTCTGTAAACAGGGTACAATAAGCTCTAACTAGAGTAATTTTAGCTTCTTTCAAATGTGAAGTTAAATAATCAATTCCTTAAATTGATCTATAACATTGGATTAATGAGGACCCATGACTCATTCTGCCATCAGCACGGCACCACTAAGGAGTGAGATGAAATATTGGACAATTTCAATTTAAGTGTAAAGATCAAGGTTTCTTTCTGAAATATTATATTTTATATTAATTAGGTTAGAAATGGATAAACTAAACTTCAGATATTCTTAAAAGGAGAAAAATTGAAATGTGTAAATTTGTAATATGTTTCCACTTATTGTATTTTCTACAGACTTCAAAAAGGAGACGGTACTCAAATTAACTGTTTATTTTTCTTTTTTTATGTGTATTACCTCATAACTTTTTTCTGGTTGAACCAATTTTGATGATTCTTTTTTTATTTGGAAGCTGGTGCTTCTCATGTGATCCCATACAAATTTGATTAAGGTCTGACTAATAGCTTTTGAGTTATTCTTAATAATTTATATTGAAGTCTGTGGTACAAATTTTAATTAATATGTGTGTGGCTTATGAATGTAATACAGTTACCATGTTTTTCATAAAGTCAGAGTTCTCATTATTGTTATAATATTATAGCCAAGTCTTTGGCACCTATCTAAAAATTAATTGTTTATTCATTATAATTTGATATATATTAATATAATTTTATGATAATTTGGCACTTCAAGCTTTTCTTGTATAAATTGTGTCAATAGTTACCACATTTATATGAACTAACTAATAAATTAATTGGAGAATGATCTTGAAAACTATGCTCAGTTAAACGAGAATCTATTCTGTTGAGTTCACTACAACATTGAAAAAGATCAATCTTTTTCAGACAAACAACATGCCTACTGCTCTACTTCATAGACATTATATTTAATTAACTGCTGTAAGCCTTGAATATAATTCACGGCACTCGTTTTCGCATTATATTTGAAGCCATATTCAGATGCAAATGATTCACAGATTTTTAGTTAACATCCAATCAGTGCTGCCATTTTAGCGCTTTGGGCGCTAGATCTAGCGCTTTTTTGGTGTGTTTAGCGCGCATTTCAAAATTTTAGCGCCTAGCGCTTAATCTAGCGCTTTTTTGTGTACTTAGCACACATTTTAAAATTGTAGCTTTTAGCGGGTTATCTAACTCTTTTACACTTTATGTCATGGCAGCACTGTTATTCTACATTACCCATAGAATATAAGCGGGGAAATCCCCTTCATTAAAACTTTCGTTCATGGTTTTGGTAAATCATTTATTTTTTTTCATTCAGTTTCAGTCAGTTGTTTAGAGCACAGTTAAATTAAAAGTTACAATACAAAGAAAGTGTATAGGTCCGTTCGTAAATATTAAGTTTTGTGTGTATTTAGCAATTTTGTGAGTAGACTTTATAATAAAATGGAAATGCCATTACGTAAGCAATCTGTATATAAGCAAAGATATAAAACTGAGTGGGAAAAGTCACCAAACTACAAGCAATGGCTGAAACCAGTATCTGGCGATGACACAAGAGCAATGTGTACATTTTGTAAAAAGGAATTTCTTGCAAAAATAAGTGATATTCAAAGACATTATGAATCGGCAAATCATAAAAAACAAGCAAAACCTTTCCTTGACAATAAACAAACATTGATTACGTCCGTGGTTCAAAAACCCGTCGAAAAAACCTGCTTGGAAGCTGAAGGAGCTCTTGCAATGTACGTTGCCGAACACTCGTCTATATAAGCAATCGATCACCTGACAGAGTTATGTAAAAACAAATTTTCTGATTCTAAAGCTACTTCAGAAATAAAAATGCACCGCACGAAATGCACCGCTGTGATTCAAGAAGTTTTGGCACCTCAATTTTAAAAAAATCTCAGGACAGATATCAGCAATAATTCATACAGTTTAATTATTGACGAATCAACTGATGTCTCTGTTAATAAATATCTTGGTGTTGTCATTAAATATTTCAGCAATACGCGCAATGAAATAGTTTCCACATTTTTGGGGCTGGTAGGATTGGAATCGGCAGATGCCAAGGGGATAGTAACTGCAATCACAGCAATACTCGAAGACTTTAACCTAGACAAAAGCAAGTTGATCGGCATAGGAACTGATAACGCCTCCGTAATGGTTGGAGTAAACGCCGGTGTATATAAAACATTGCAAAAGCGGTTTTCTTTACCCGATCTTGTACTGATTAGGTGTGTCTGCCATTCTATCCAATTGGCAGTTTCTCGCGCTTCGTTTGAGACGATACCTAGAAACATAGAGTTTATGATTAGAGAAACCCATAATTGGTTTAAAGTCTCAGCAAAACGTCAAAATGAATACAGACAACTATACGAAGCAATAAATTGTGGAGAAGAACCACTGAAGATTTTAAAAGCTTGTGATACAAGATGGCTGTCAATCGAACCTGCAGTAAGTCGAATTCTAGGCCAACGGTTCGAACTAAAATTACTACCTAGAGAAAATTGCTATCAAGCCGAATTACTGTATAATATATTTAATGATGAAAGGAACAAAATTTCTTTGCAATTTTTATGTGGCACGCTTAAAAATGTTCAAGAATCAATAAAAATCTTCGAAAGCAAAACTTCAGATCCTGTCTGTTATACAACACTCTTTATGATTTGATAAGAAATTTGTGCACTAAAGTAATTATTACTAAACCAGGATTGCAATTTGACTCTCTTAATGTAAGAGAACATCTTTCTATGAGTCCTTTTCTTGGATACTTATTTGAAAAAGAGATCAATGAGTCTGCATTAGATAATGAAGAAAAAAAAATGATCAAGAAAAGGTGTGTTGATTTTATAATAAAGCTGATCAATGAACTACAACAAAGAATGCCGGAAAACTTAAAACTATTAAAAAATACAATGGCGCTATCAGTTTCAGTTATTTTAAAGCCAAATAGACTCATTGAAAATTTTATAAAAGTCTTAGAGAGTCTTGGATGCACAAACGATATGGATAGTATTGTACAGCAATGGCAAACTATAATACTGCAAGAGTGGGTCCATACTGACAACACAGTGAAATTCTGGGCCGAAGTTCAGCAGTCGAGGGATGCAGCTGGCAATTGTCCTTATAGAGAATTGTTTGAAGTGGCCACAAAGGTAATCAGCATACCGCATTCAAATGCTGACATCGAATGTGTGTTCAGTTTAATGAATGTTGTAAAAACTAAGTTGCGAAATACATTGCACTTAAAAACAATTAATTCCATTTTAATTGTTCGTACAGGACTAACTGCTGTTGACAGAAATTGTTATAGTTATAAGCTACCTGTCGATGTTTTGCGAAGTATTGGGACATCAGAAAAATATAGCCAGAAAAAAAACGCTGATGAAGCTGGCCCTAGTTCAGTAACTTGTTAATTGAAAATTAATTAATGTTGTCTCGATAACGAAATTAAACTATTTGGTTGAACTTTATTTGCGTTTTTTATTATAATTTATAATTCAAGAAAAAATGTAGTTAGTTTAGCGCGAAATCTAGCGCTTTTTTAAAGCGCTGTTTTCATAAAATCTAGCGCTTTTTGTATCGTCTTAGCGCTGAATGAGTTTTTTGATCTGGCAGCCCTGCATCCAATGTGTCCATTGGCAGAAACACTTAATAGTAATGTTTATCTGCAAAGTTAAAATTGTTTATGAAGGCATTGTCTATGCATCATCCGACACACTGACTGCTAAGTTTTTCTATTAAATAATTTATTTATCCTCGCACAATCCATATAGTCATTGTCTGCTGGATACAGTAGATTTTAGATCTACAGCATAGGAAGACTACCCTTTTCACATATACGGGCACTCCTTATAAGGCTACGAACCGCACTATACCCGCATAGAGGTGGTGCACTTCCTACATCGGTGCCCCTAGATTGGGCAGCAGTCTATGCGTAGGACCCGCTGCCACTGTCCTGGTAGAGTCCTGACTTCAGACCCACCCACTCGTGAGTCTATGTAAACTCACGAGTCGGGTGGTTACCTGCTCCATGGTAATTTGTGAAACCATAAAGCCTCAGTTTCCAGTCCCAACTAGTATATTTTTCCGTCGACGATTTCCGTTAGAAACAGCCCTTTCGAAGATGAGCTCACTGGTAACCACTTGTGTATTGTTGGCATAGCGCACTATATCTAAACCAGTGAGAAGTTCAACATGCAGAACCACATCATACACGAGGTTCCACAGAAGCCTATGACCAAGTCCTGTGAAACCTCATGTTTAATCTCCCTCTGGATCTTTGTATCTTATTGGATGCGCAAGTAGCCCCCGATTAATCCTTGCAGATAGGTAGGCACCTGATAATGTACTAGTGTCCTTTTGATTGCATCCCAGTAGTCCTCTCGTAATATTTTTCAATCTAGTCCAACCCGCGGCCATGCCTTTTTCAAGAGTACCAACCTCGCCTGTTGATCACAGCATGGATATAGCGAACTTGGCACTCTGCATATAGCCGGTAAAAATCTGTCCAAGCCTGTTGCCAAGGTAGCCAGACTCAGCACTAGAACCCGTCAATGACAGCAGGTGACCTGAGGGACTTGAACGGTCCTCTGGAAAGAGCATGCTAATTATTCTTCCCAGTAGGACTGGATCAAATATCCGTCAAGGGTATGGGCATACTGTATCCTAGCCTAACTCCAATCTTTCTCATAATCATTGATGTGGGTAGGTTTGAATTGATGACTGTCATTTGTTTGTTTATGTACATACAGCTAACTACTCTACATATTCTGAAATTGTTGCTGTGGTAAAATTGGTCTTGGAGTGATGTGAGGATGTCAATAGTCGTTTGAAGGCTTAATGCTTATTTATATTTTTATTCGATTATTACAGGCTTTATATGCTGATTTTATAAATTTTATCATTTCAGAACGCCTCCCTCATTGAAAATTTAGCGAGTTTGCAACAGATTGATTTGCAAAACTTACCTTCACTTGTGAGAAGTCATTACGAAGAGGGAAGTGGCAATATGTCACCGTAAAATTTTAAACCATAGAGATATTGTTATTATATTTTCAAATAAAGGCAAATTAATGTTGACTCAAGATTTATTTATATATCTTTAAAGATTAAAGTTATTAACAAATTTTACATCACATTAAATTAAAATATTATTTCTAACATGTTTCACATGCTAGATAATTATTTCTATACGGTAAAAGAAATTTATACAGTTATTAGGCATGATTAAAGCATTTAAAATCAGTTTCTTGGAAACTTCTCAAAAAATTTGACGTAAAGTTTAACTGTTTTAAATTGACAAAAACATAGGCAGGTACATATCGTATATTATTCTTAAAACAAAATGTTTTCTCATTTATAAACACATAAACCCTACATATTCAAGGCAGTAACACCCTGCATATTTAAATTATTGAGATGTATTGTTAGAGCCAACGCATTGGTTAATATTAGTTATTTTTATAAATCTATCTACCTACATTAAACATTATAGATTATACCTACAACACTAGTGAACACAAATAAAACATGGAAGGATTCCTAGCTCCGAAAAATGACCCCACGCAAATTGAGTTACTAGGCGCTTTTTACCAATTGCGCTGCGAACGAGTAAAGTTCGTCACTATCATTATAATGATTAATTACAATTTGCATTGCACCATGTAACATTAAACGTCCCCGACAAAAAATGACGTCATTTGATAAACGTAAGTTACTTATATGATGTATATGCCAATTGAAACCAAAACTCTTAAATAAGGTCAAATTTTAACTGTTTTTTTTTTTATAGAAGAAGAGAGCACAGACGACGAGCACAATCCACCTGATGGTAAGTGGATGCTGTGGCCCATAAATATCTACATCTAAACTCAATTAAGAATCAAAATGTAGATGTGTTTGGCATTCATGAGGACTAAGATGGAATGCTTCGTTTCCAATAAAAAGGGGTCTCCGGTTCTCCATACCATACGAAATAGCAGCATTAAGCTGCTATTTTACGCTAGTATTTTGTGAGAGCGTGATCGTAGGACCCGATCGAGGCGACCCATTCGTGCTACAACTATAAGGTAGTTACAGAATGTCGCTCTACCATGTCAAATTATAAATGACTGTGCATCCCCAATCTCTATATATAAAAATCAATTACTGTCGGTTTTCAGTATTCAACCTTTTGTTCTGTCTGTTGATAAGTTTTGATTCATTTACCACCTAGACCTAGCTAATTAGTTATTAGTTTTTAATATTCTTTTATATAAAAATCGATTGCCGTGCGTTAACCTCGCTAAAACTTAAAAATGCCTTAACCGATTTTTATGGGTATTTTGTGTTTGAATGGGATGATGATCCAGAAATCACCCGTGCGAAGCCGGGGCAGATCGCTAGTATAATATAATTAACTTAGCTAATCATAGATGGAGTATAAGGCCTCCTGCGCCTCGCTGCGTAGCCAGGCTGTGGCGGCCGAAATATTTGAGCAGCCACTTCTAAACAGCAAATAGACAGTCAGTTGTGACCCTTTCTTCGTCATTTCGTGGTTTCGGAACACAAAATACGTCTGGCTGCTACGACAAGTGCACGGTGACTGACGGCAGCCACATACATTAGCCTACTCGCTCTGGCTGCGCGCAGCCAACGGGCTGCCGTGCAGTCAGGCGCGCTTTTATGACTGCCGCAGCCGGGAGTTCGTGGCTGTTTAGGTGCGCGGGCTCTCATACACCGTCATATGTTCGTCTGGCTGCCGCAGCCAGGATGCCTAGTGCGCGGGGAGGCCTTAATGTGAGAATTTGTGCCATGTTGTTCATTCGAAGTAATAGGTACCTTGCTTTATTTGGGTTCACTCTACATCACCAAAAAAACCTTTTAAAATCAAAGTATTACATATTAAAACCTTTCATAATAATTAATTGACTCCTAGTTTTAAATTCTAATAAATATTAAACAGTATTGTATATTCGCGGTTTACAGCCAGTACCTAATACCTATATAATTGTTCTTAATATTGTTTCTTTTCTTAGTAACTTTGATGTTATAAATTATTACATTTTTGTTTTGCTATCATACTTACAGCACATACAGCTGATGGGAAAAAAAGTTAAAATTACTCATCCAAAATTTTATTTGAGCTAATTTTTGTGGCATAAAGTATTAATTTTGTAAAGCTATGTATATATTATGTATGTTATTTGATATTTATGTATGATAATAATTAGGCACACTGATTTAACGAACGACATTAAATGAGGATTTCGCACTATCAACCAAATGTTAGTTATAGTTAACCTTTAAAGAAACTTCCTTTAGTGTGTTTGGCCAACCAAACTTGATGAGCATTTAGTCTAGTTTTCTATTACCTATATATTAAGTCTTCACTGTTAATGTTGGATACGTCAACCATTGCTTCATTGACGTTCGCTGATCCATTCCAACGGGCTCAACAAAAATACCCTTTGTCAGTGTTCGTTGGTCCAATATAACGTAGCATGAAAATGTAATATTTTGGATGAATTAATTTTGTAAAGCCTGTGGTAACAGCTTACGGACTAGATAAACTAAATACACTACTATTATCAATGTTGAAAGACAGCAGTCTTTTCTTTAAATCTTTGTCTTCGAAGTGCTTTCTCTTCTGCTTCACGACGCTTCTCTTCTTGTTCTTGTAAGATCTCATCATGAAATTTGTTTTTCTTTGCTAGCTCTTCTATTTTTGCTTCAAAGAAATTTTTGGCTCCATTGACACCTACTTGATCGACATTAATTTCTGTTAATCTTGCTAATGCTTCCAAACCAGAATCCATTTCAAGTTCACCTAATCGAGCTTTCCTAAAAAAAAAAATTCATATCATTATTAGACGGTAATGCAGAAACAACAGTTAAGTAGTAATATGTTATTCTTTGTAGGAATTCTAGTATTTTCACTTGAGCTCAGTTTTAAAATTGTCTCTCCGTTTCTACAAATTTGGAACATAATTTTGGAATATATTCTGAATATTTTATAGAATATTATGTAAAGACAATTTCTGCAATCATGGCGTAAACTTCAACTAATTTTATATAATTTTTTACTAACTTTAGTAGAATTTGATTGTGGCGGCGTTGACTGTGGCGGGTGGAAGGAAAAGGGGAGAGTTCCCGCCGGGCAAGGTGTTCTGCCCGGGGAGCGGCCGACGCTCCGAGTGGTAGTTCGGAGCTATTCTATATATTATACTGCTTTAACTTCGGAACTTTGTTAGCGCGATTTAGGCTTTGATATGTTTCGCTTGTGGCGCGACGACAGCGCCGCCACATCACCCCCCTGCTCAGACCGGAGGTCGATATTGCAGTCCGATTGCCGGTGCGTCCTTAATGCCGGTGGGAAATGCATGCTGTGTGCGTAAGGGCAAGTGACGCCGCGCCGGTGCGAACGATATGGCGGTGTGTAATGCATGCCATACTACGCACTTGCAAGTGATGCCGGTGAGAACGATGAGCCGGAGCAAGTGCCAGGAATTGCCTTGTAGTCTGCGGTGAGTCGAGAAGAAGGCAAGTAATCTGCGAGAGTGCCATGAAGCAGAGCCGAGCAGTAAGGCTCAGAGCCGTGCCGAACACTGTAGCGCAGAGAGTAGCTTGAAGAAACAGAACCTTTGTCAAGCTAGATGGCTTGCAGAATGTGAAGACTGCAGACAATATCTCCTCGGGAGCGAATGAATGGGTTACTTGAGGACGATGACAAAGGTTTTGAAGTTGTAGTTTCTGAAGGTTGTTGGTTGCGTGTTCATATTACGTCGGGGTCACCACTGTGGCGGGTGGAAGGAAAAGGGGAGATCTCCCGCCGGCCAAGGTGTTCTGCCCGGGGAGCGGCCAACGCTCCGAGCGGTAGTTCGGAGCTATTCTATATATACTGCTTTAACTTCGGAACTTTGTTAGCGCGATTTAGGCTTCTATATGTTTTCGCTTGTGGCGCGACGACAACGCCGCCACATCATGATTTTACAATCGTTTGTTGCAAAAGTGCTAATTTACCATGGTCTCACTCTCAAAGGTGAGAGAAACCGTGAGGAAACGGGCAGTTCTGAGAAAATAAAAAATATTTCGGAGACATGTAAAGTACATTGGGACAGCGCGGCAAATTCCTTGCCCTAAAACCCTCAAAGAAGTGAGAAGGCGCCTGTGCTAAGCGTGGATGCGTTTACGCTTGGCAAGGATATAATTTTACAGTCTTGTCACACATCTCTCGGGTAGCAAGTGCATAATTCTCCGTAAGGGAACGTCGGATATTTTGGAACGAAAATTACATTTGTATACAAAAGGGAACATGACTTTGAATTTCCCTACTTTTTGGGGAGAATCTTAAAATTGTACACCTTACAACTAAGACAGTTGGCACGAGTGTAAGACAGTAATTTCACGCATTTTAGCGCGTTCTGAAAGTCATTATTATATGGAGACGCGGAATATTATAATAAAAGTTCTAACCATTATTGAGAAAAAAAGGCCCAGACAGCAGCTAGAACAGATGGACGGATGGACAATAAAGTAATCCTGTAAGGATTCCGTTTTCTCCTTTTGAAGTACAGAATCCTAGAAATAGCGCACGGATTTTTAAATCGAAAGTACTCTGTATGATTCGAAGACGCACACGAGTCCGGGCCATTTTTGTTCATTCTAGCTGAGACTGCTTGAAATTCGCGACGCGCGTGACCTCAAGCGAAACAACCGTTAATCTGCTTCTAAAATATATTGTGGATACCAAAATGCATAATTATGATATATTCGCCGAGGTGAGTTCTTATTTTTTATATTAACAATAGCAATTATTCTAAACTGTACTGTTTAAATTACTCTTTTCTGCCGAGGCTGCTTAGTGCTTAGGAATGTTTTTTTTTTTACTAGACTAGAATTTAACTAGAGCGCATACAGTGCTATTGGAAATTTTCCTAATGCTGAGCTTCCTCTGGGATTCCAGGATCCACCTACCACCTAGTGCCTACTTATAGCCATAAGCTAACCGACTGTTGGCCTAACATCCTACCAACGGCAATCACCGCCGTCTGATTATCATATCATCGGCTTTCTCCGTTAGCTAGTTGTCTGCGTCTCTGCAGGAACAGCGCCTGGACTTCGTCTACCTACGTCAGGCCAGTAATCCCTTTACTAGTATGTGAGCGGAAGTAAGACAATAAATAGTTTGCTAATAATAACTATTTCGAAAACCCATCTACCTTTTGAACTAACCTAACAGTCACAGTGGCAAACGCATGCCATGCACAGTTGAAATATGTATATAATTGATGACGCTGAGACACATTGTACACGGAACCCTAAAACTGACCATATTTTTAACAAAAGTTACTAACGAAAGGTTTTGCTATAACATAATGATTTCTTATATTTACGCGAACACTACACATTGAATAAAACTACTCTTACGAATTCTATCGCGTTTATTTAACTTTTTTTTTTTGCTTTTTTAAACGTGATAGAATCCGTAAGAGTAGTTTTATTCAATAAACATTATTTTTAATATTGAAGTTTGAAATGTGAATATATCTTTTATTCTAGGGAAATCGTCACGCAACACGCATTTATACGAAGGCTGTTAGTAAACGCATTATGCTCTAAAGGTCAAGTATAAAGGAAACTGTTTCTAATGTTTAAATAAAAAATATGATTGCATCAATTATTACTTATTATGATGCTTGTAACGGATGCCCTAGTTTTTACTTTAACCACAGAATAAATAATAGTAAAAGAACTTAATCTTAAAACATGCATGTGCAAAATTTAAAACCGTTTTATTTTTACTTAAATGTTCAATATCCTGTGTTCCTATAGATTTTTTTATAGTATAGAGTGACAAGCGAGCACACAGTCCACCTGATGGTAAGTAGTTGCTGTGGCCCATAGACATCTACATTTATCCTCGTTTGCGAATCAAAATGCAGATGCGTTGTCACCCGTGAGGACAGATGGAATGCCTCTTTTTCCATTAAAAAGTGTCTCCGGTTCTCTACACTCACCATTCGAAACACAGCAGTGTTAAGCTGCTATTTTACGATGGTATTCTGTGAGAGCGTGGTGCTTCCCCGGTCGAGCCGACCCATTCGTGCTACAACTATACTACTAATATAGCTGCAGCATGGCTCTACCACGTATATATCCTATAGATTTATGTCAGAAAATATTTTAATTATTACTCACATAGGAAATGAAATCACTGAATTCTTTAAAACGTTTTAAAAACGTTTACTTACCGGTATATTAGTAAGAATTCTCTGAAACTGATCTTGTTGTCTCCGTCTTCGTCGACTTCCGCGATCATTGCCTTTAGACCCAGATGTGTTTGCGGCGCGCCAAGTCGCTCCATCATGCGCTTCACTTCCGTCAGATCTAGAAAACCATCTCGCCCTTCGTCGAACCTGAAAATAAAAGTTCAACAATCTTATCTACATATTCAATCGGTTTCCCTTTATTATATTATAACATAATAGTGACATAGTACTTAAAAGTCGACGGCAAGTTGTTACTGCAGCTCATGGACGTCTACTATGCTTTACAATCGTTAATTGTACTGACCCTTCTCGACTGCCTTGTTGATTTAATAGTCGTAAACGCGGTTGCTGATAATGAGGTATCGGGTTCGAATCCAGGGTGGTGCCAAAATCAGTTATTGGGTTTTTCCCCGTTGTTTCGTCCCCGTGTCTTGAAAAGCACGTAACGCCATTGGCCCTCCGTCTTATCTCTCTGCGGTCTCATCGGATATGAAATTCGGTCTGGAGGATATTAATTCTACCATGACCTTCCTTACCCTTTTAAATCGAAACACTATAGTGGTTGCACTGTTGCTTGACAGTAGAAAAGGGTAATAGGTTCATACCTACCCGGATCGGCTCCTTATGGAATAAAATGTAGCCCTTCCACCTTCTTGACTGCGTATGACTACGATCTGTACAATAGGGCTTTACTTTTACTAAATAATAATTAATAAAATCAGACGGTGTTTTGCGGAAATATAATATATTGAAAGCCTAGCGATTTGCCCCGGCTTCGCACGGGTGATTTCTTGATCCCTACAACGGCGCCACCTACCGAGTCAAATTGTGAATCTAAACCATCCAGGGACGTACTCAGACACACATAGAATTTCATCAAAATCGGATGAGACATTTTCGAATTTTTGCGAAACGGCAATTAATTTCTATATTTATGAATATTAAAAACTGATTAGCTAAGATGCGTTCCTAGCTAATCAATTTTTAACATCTTTAACTTATTAGCTAGGTGTAGATGGTAAATTAATCAAAACTTATCAACCGACAACACAAGGCTGAATACTGATTTGTGTTTTATTTCTATTACCTATAATTAAAAACATTATCTGTACTGTAGGAATTTCCAGTTACGTGGAGATATTTTAAGAGACTTTTACTATTTATACCTATTTGCATTTAAACAAACACCCAGACCTGGAGCAATTATTGCAAATCTAAGCTGCGACCCTGCGATGCCGCTCCAAGACAATAACTACGCCACTACCGAGCGGCAAGTTGTAGCATTGCGGATGTTTACCCTAAGATTTCTTGGTGCGTCATAGTTAAACGCAGGGCAGGCCATGGCCAGCCACAATTTTAAATATTATATATTATCGTATATATTTCTTAAAATATTATCATAGACTATTTCATTTATCATTAACAATAATTCAGTGCATATAATTAAAGCATCATTTTTGTTTTTAAAAACTTAACCTCCACACTAGGTTTTTCTCCTGTACCGTGGTCTACATACATAAATTTCACAAGGACAAACACATCCAGACCCCAAACTATTATTTGTAGGCCATACAAATACTTGTTCCGTACGGGATTCGAAACCTCGGCCACCACCGTCATTTGACAGTTGGTGAACATAAACATTATTATTTACCTAACTACGCACTAAAAATTAACGAATTTACTTTATACCCGTACAGTTGATAACAGCTGTGTAAACTGTGTTATGAGTACGTATGGAATTTCAATGAATAACCTAAATAGTTTCTAATATCGTACCAATACATTAGACTAAATAACGTCATAAACTGTAGTCTATAAGGTGAAAAGAAGGACCGTTATGTAAGAAGTTATTTTCATAAAGAAAGTGTCTCCATGTAGTGAATGCAAATGTTGTATGCATTCAAATGTAGGTACTTCACTTTCCCAAGTTTCTTATGAAGCATCATTGATGCTAACGGATATCTAATGTCATCATATTCTATTTAAAATTGGTAGTTAGTTTAAAATTATTAGTTATTGGTGTTATAATGCAAATCTTCATCTCTTTTACATTTTGCATAATTACTTCGTGTAATCGTGTTGCTTTTTTATGTGCAAAGGTATACATTATACATATAACTATGTTACTATACCTAAATCTATTTTGATTTTTTGTTCACCCAGAAGTTTATATTTTAATTTTACCTGGATTTGGGATAATTTCCCATATTATTTCACAAGAAAGTGGAAAAAAAAGAAACTTGGATATTTAGGAATAATTTGTGCTATAGTAGGAATTGATTAATTAGTAGGTATTTATTGTTTTAGCTCATCATATATTTACTGTAGGAATAGATATTGATACTCAAGCTTACTTTACTTCTGCAACTATAATTATTGCTGTACCAACAGGAATTAAAATTTTTAGTTGATTAGCAACATTATACGGATATATATATAAAATACATATACATACATATATGCACACACACACACACACACACACACATATATATATATATATATATATATATATATATATATATATATATATATATATAGTTAAGTTATGTTCAACATTTTGATATACTTATAATAAGAAAATATGAATTTAACATTTGATTGTTTCCTGAAAAAAAGATACATATTAGTACATTTTTTTAATATGTCATATGGGATAATGTTCTACACGTATCTATCTATATATATCTCGACAAATAGTACAAACGGACCCCTGTATCCGTTCAACGGTAGATATGCAGCATTGATATATATTATCTGATCGCAGGAAATACAATAAACAATATAATCGCATCCTTCTAGGGTAACTTTCGACACAACACGAAGCTATTGTAATCCAAAGTAAAGTTATACTCGGTGTAGTGTCAACATCCTATTCCAAAAAGTTACGCCGCGACAAATTATCCGCCATTGAAGTGCAGTCACTGGCAAAAACATGTAAAGTCACTTAGCATAACAGATGGCGGAGTTGCGGATTTAGGTACAAACTACAAATTGCTTTGTCTCGCTACATGCCACAAGGTGAAGCAAGTCTAGTTATTAACCTGAAACTTGACAACGTGAAAAATTGAGGATTCTGTAACATTTAGTCAATCGCCTAGATACCCGTTTTCTAGTCGGCGTTTAATTTGAAAAAAAAAAAAAACAATTACACGCCAAACGCAATTCTAATTAAAGAATTACGTTAACCGAATGCCATTCAGATTTCACGATACAATTGGATTGTACTCTTACGTTAGCATGAAGAAAAATAATGTGTATATGAATTTGCAAAATAAATGCTTGCTTTTCCTTTCAGTGCATAAGTGGATAACTATTCTTCTTTCTTATAAGTTCATTAATACTGAATAAAACTACAAAATTAAAAGGTACAGCAAAGGAACGGTTTACGTATCGCATCGGTTATTTTTATCCCAATACTCCCAAACGATTTTTTAAATATTAACAATTTCACAAAAATAAAGATATTCGCTGCGGGAGACGAATATTTACTCTTTTATGTCCGTCAACGAGTTGTATTTGATCTTTGTCTTCTGTGAACTTCTGTGTGTGTAGATATAGTAATCAATAAACGGGTCATCGCTTCCCTTCAAAACGGTCAGGGAGAGCAATGGCTGTCACATCCATCATATTCGTGAACTGATCCTGCTTGTGAAAGCTGATGTACTCAAGTTTACAATGTACTAAATAATCTAAGAAATAAAAATTTAACGTTTAACTTAAAAAGTTGTTAAAATATCACGTAATTATTACTTATTTAATGGAGGACCCATAACTGGTAATGCTATAGTAAATCCGCCGCCCAAACGTCATGATCAATGCCCTGCCATGGGTAGGAGTCCATGGCAGAGGAATAAGAAGCAACTATTGTAAAAACTAGACATAAAATTTACTTTGCAATGGTGAAACATTTAGGTTACCCAAAGCTATCTATGCCATCCCTATAGAGCACACCCTAAAATAAAAGGTTAGAGCCGGTAATCCAGTCCCTAAAACATTTGGAAACCTTGAAACCGCCATTAGGGAAGAATGGAACCGAATCCCTCAAGAGACCATCAAAATCTTGATAAGGTAATAAAAGCGGCGAATGCAGGCCGTCAGTCGAGTAAGAAGAGGGAATACGCAATATTAAATTGCAACAATTGTTTACATAACATTAATTTAAGCCATAAAAATTAGGGCGTATTTAAAAAAAATCGTATAAAATTAAGAATTTTGATTTTTAAATCAAAAGTTATTGCAACAACCATTTTGATGTTTTAACTGTGATTAAATTGGTGTAAATAAACAAGTTAAATCAAACATTTCAGTACTAAAACATTTTGTTTGGTGTTGCTTAAGAAAAATGAGATTTGCGGTAAAAACGCAGGTGGGCCGATTTTTTTTTTTTGATGACTAGTGTAGATACATTTGAACTTAACTAAATTTAAAGTTAACGATTCAATGAATAAAGAAAGGGCAAAACATTCCATTCACAGTAAAAGTAGTTTCTACTCAATAAAAACTTCACCGACCCACTTCAGTCTACTCCTTACTAGAATTCCATTTTTGAATCGTGTTCGTTTTCCGTATTTCACTTTTGTCTTTTAAGTAAATAAATTAAGGTTAATCTATAAACATCGTTATTTAACTGCATAAATAGTTTTACTAGTGATTGACCTAAACTCAAATATAGGTCTTAACGTTAATAGAATAGCTGCAAATTGAGGCCAGTGATAATGAAATGGCAACGCTACGTCCTACTAACGTCGCAGAAAAACAAACCGAGCCACCTTTGATCCTCCAGCCATTTGTCAGACAGCTAATAATTGAAACAAGCAGTTTGAATTGTTTATTACTATAATATGAATCTTAAATAACGTTTAAAATTGCTCCGTTAAAATGTGATTCCGGATTCGAGTCCTGGGACGGACCAAAATCAGCTATTGGGTCATTGAGTCAAGAAATTCTCAGTAGCGGCATGAAGTCAGGAAGTTGGCGGCGTTTCACCCCTTTGCCTTTTTTTATAGGATAAGGGTGACAAACGAGCACACAGTCCACCTGATGGTAAGTGGTTGCTGTGGCCCATAGACATCTACATCTATTACGAATCCTCGATTACGAATCAAAATGCAGATGTGTCGCCACCCGTGAGGACTAAGATG